CCCAGTAACGCGTCTGGCACAGCCGAAATATCGCGTGTGCTCTAGCAAGAAAACATGTCCTTTACAAAAAAAGGGTCAGAAATGCATCTTTTCACTTATTTTTCAAAAATAAATTATTTTTATGGCCTAAAAGATTATAATATGATGTAGATATCCAGGGTAGTAACGCGTACCCCTTGTAATGCACTCACGGACCACTAGGGGTACGTGCTGGCCGGGGGAGGCAAGTTTCAGACCAGAGACTAGCAGGGGCCTGATGACGAGACTAGTTTCCATTGATGCTTTAATGGATTTTCAAAGTAAAACTCAAAATTTGTGACTGAAACAGGAAAATGCATGAATGCAGCCCAAAACAACTTTAGGGTTTTATTTTTTTAGTGATGAAATAACAACATCACATGGTAAAACGCTCCAACTCCTTTAAGTATGTAAACAGAGAGGAATGAGTGGTGAGACAGCTTGTATACGCAGACTCCTACCTTTTCTCCTCAACGTCCACCTCCACCCTCCCAGCTGTGCAGCAGGAACTCTAGGGGTGGGTGATGGAAGTGTTTGTACCTCATGTTACATAGCAGCTTTTGTAAATACCAAAGGTTACACCAGGTAAGTGCAGGGGTTCTGCTGTTCTCCATGGTTCGTTTTGTTTTAACCCCTTCCTTCGTTCGTTCCTTCGTTTTGATGAGTTTAACTTTTAAAGTTGAAACTCTCGAGTGATCCTGTGGGATCGTGTGTTCGTGTGTTTTAAAGGTTAACTTCGTTTGTGGAATATGACTGACTTCAGTTTTAAACACCTTTGTTTTAACCAGGTGTTTTAATAGTTGATCATTCGTCTTTTAATGGTAACCTTTACGAGAGTTTGTGTGTGTCGCATTACCTTTATAATGCTCGTCGTCTGCTTTGCTCATTTTTAGAACCATTTTAATATCCACTGTCCAGTTCTTATGTTATCCCTTCACATTTTACCATCTCATGTCGGGGGCGTAACACACCTGTAACTGCTGTAAACGGCTGAAGCTTCGTGTCTTTTCAGAATGATTCCAACCAGATGAAAGGTTTTTCTCATTAGTTAGAGCTGCTGGGTTTGGTCTTACCCTGGCCAGATACTTGATCTGTGTGTCTGACGTGATGCAGGCGTTGCCTTCTTCCTCTCTGTACTGCACATTACCCAGGTGAAGCACACTGGCAATTATGTTCAGCAGCTCCTGCACAGACACGACGCACGACAGGAGGCAGGACAGCAGAACGGTGTGAGATCATGGAAGGGAACAGAGACCAGAGGTTAGGGGGAGAGAGAGCAGTGAGACTAGGACTATTACTGCACACACGCACACACACACACACACACACAGGTCACAACAACCTATTTTCCTTGGTTTGCTACGTTTAAATAGAGACTTCATCCTATCAGCACCTTTTGTTTACCTTAAACTGACCTCAGATAAACAACATCACATGGAATTAAATAACACAAGTCAGATTGGTAAATGATCCATTCCTCTGCTTGATAAAAACAGACGACTTGCTTTCATGTAAACACCTAAAAGTGAAGGTGTGTGTTTGTTTTCCCACGACCCGAACCTCCGCTCCTCACCTCCACCTCGTTCTCGCTGAAGCCAATCACAGTCAGGGCTTTCCTCACCACCTTCCAGTCGCTGCGGTCGTTAATGGAGCTCACTTTGGGACAGTTGCCCTGTAAACACACACACACACACACACACACACACACACACACACACACACACACACACACACACACACACACACATAATTACAGCCAGGCAAACTCCTTTGTGTTTGTAACTCTTTGCTTGTGTTGAAGCTTTTCATCTACGTGATAAATAAGAATTTACAAAGTTGGTCACACACAAACTGTGTGTGTGTGTGTGTGTGTGTGTGTGTGTGTGTGTGTGTGTGTGTGTGTGTGTGTGTGTGTGTGTGTGTGTGATGGTCCCTTGAGTCAGGTCTCTCCCACTGTCAGGGACACAAACAACATAAACTCCACAGGGGCGCTCTGAGGACACGTAACCGACTCTAAGACCCGAGTCCTGCTGGTTCGAGTCAGACACACGAACTACATCATGCACAAAATACACATGCAGACTAATCAGAGTCCCGTTGAACATAAACAAAAGCTGCGGCACGCTTACCTTGACCAGGTACTGGTATTGCTGAGGGTTCCTCTCTAGGCCCAGGTGTCTCAGCAGATCCTCCTCTCCTCCCTCAATTATCTGGTAGAAGATGTGGAAGTTCCTCTCCCCATGGTTCTGATGAACAACCCGAGACTTCTCTAGCAAGTAGTTGATGATGTGGCCTCCCACAGGAGCTCCCTGTCGATGGGACCAAGGGTAGAGATGGAGGGGGAAAGAGCAAGAGGAGGAGGTAAGACTGGAGTCCTGAGCTGTAACGAAACATGAAGGCTTCTCCAGGGATCACCTGAGAAACCCACAAATCACAAGGTGTTGTTTTTAAGTTTTCAGCGTTTTGCTCACCTTGAAGTCAAACTGAATATCCATGTACTTGCCAAATCTGCTTGAGTTGTCATTACGCAACGTCTTAGCATTGCCAAAGGCCTGGAGAAGGACGGAGCAGATAGAGGAAAGGAAACGTGGAACATTCTCACACATCTGATGAACCAAAACGTGTCTACACAAAGTTCCATCCCACAGTATTGTGATCAAAAAGGTTGGTTTATTTACATGTTTACAGTCTTAAATGGAGACAATGAGATATGTGTGGGAGTATCTTACCTCCAGAACAGGGTTGGACTGCAGCAGGCGATCTTTGATGGTTTGCACATGCTCACTGGCTGGACAGGTGACTGCGTAGTACTGCAGGATCTTCTTGGACGCCTCCGTCTTCCCTGCACCACTCTCACCTGAGATCAGAATGCACTGGTCCTTCCTCTCGGTCCTCATGGAACGGTACGCGTTGTCTGCCACCGCGTAGCTGCAGAAGTGGAGGGAGACCAATCATCTAAACATCTCCTGCTAGAGATCTAACAGTTCATGTGGAGGCAGAGGACCTCGGAGTCCGTGCTTAAGATCCTGTGACGGTCCCTCTTGACAAAATATTATAAATGTTGTATCACTGAATAATAATAATAAAACACAGTCCTCATGACGAGGGCCAGCTTTATTACATCATGTGAGCCTACCACCTGCAGGATGAAGAGTCGAGGCTGGACATCCAGTGGAAGGGTTAGGGTTAGCAGACCTGCCCCAGCCTGTGTTTGGTCTGGGTGAAGAACTGCTGACCCAGCTCACCCTGTGGTGTTTGGGAACCTTGGCTGTAGAATGGGGTGAGAAGTGGACCAATGGTTCAGGTCCCAGTGACAGGAACAGAGATGCTGCTCAGGTCTGTCGTGGTAAAGGAGAAGAATTCCCAAATGGAAAATGTCTTGAGTTACTGGACCGCACTAATGATAGGGTGCGGAGCGCCATCTTTGTTTGGGTCTCTTTCTGACTCCTGCTCTCCTCTCTCTGGAGCTTTTCTGGGTATTTTCCACTGTTTGTGTGTCAGGAGCTGAAGACCGGGACTTCTTAGCTCCTGGACTCCCCGGCTTTGGATTAGTAGGGATAACAGATCGATGTTTGAAGGCCAGATTTATTTGGACTTCAACACATCTGCAGTGGTCTCTCATATAAATGAATGCATTATGAGTCGATCTCTGTGGGAAAAAAAGCTCTGGCGCGTCTGTTTCGGGAACTAGCAGTGATCCAGATGAGAGTGGGTAGGTGATGTTCAGACATCTTGCCTGTGATTGGCTAACAGCCATTTGTTTTGCAGTGTTGGTGTTCTACTATAACTCAAGCCTGAACGAGTTTTGAAATGTTGTGGAAATGCTAATGCTAATGGTTAGCGTCTCCTAGTCGGGACGTTCTCTACTGTTTCCCGGACGCTGAACCAACATCATCTGTCCTCGTCGTGAGCCCAGATGGGTGACTCCATGGATGCTAATTTTCAGTGTGATCAGAGCTTTTCATTGTCTATTTTCTATCAGCGGCTAATGCAGGAAAGAGGGGTAGAAGACTATTTTCACGTTCAGCCAGCATGTGAAACTCAGAGTGACTGACCGTATTTTAAAAACAAGTAAAAAACCTGTTAAACCTGCTGATGAAAGATGAGTACAGCTGTTCTTTCCGGCGTGGGTGTGATGGTGCTGCTGATTTAAAATGTAGTAACATGGTTAAATGAAGTTGTTTCCATCGTTATCGTGTTATCGATAGATGATTTGCTTAAATACTGACTAGTAACAGAAATAATTAAACTCCAATTTTATTCTAGGACTGCTATACTTTGGTTTAAGTCTTTTTTTCATAACCATTCTAAATTGTTGATTTTAATGGGTCCCAATCTAGAAAATGAGGAATTGGGAGAGGCATTCCTCAAGGATCTTCCTTGGGGCCTTTCTTATTTTCTATTTTTATTAACAACCTACCGTGTTCTGTTCAGGGCATTTATATGCTGATGACACCATTTTAGATTGCTCAAAACCCAACTTAACTGAAATTCAAGAGTGTCTTCAGATTAACTTTAATAATATACAACACTGGTTAGCTCATAATAAGTCGCTTTTCAATAAATCAAAATCCTATTCAATGCTTTTTCAGAGATATCCATCTGCCTTGCACAGTGATCCAAATTTACACTTGGATTTGTCACGGCTGAAAGCTTCTGGTTCTATTAACTCATTCACTTTGCTTTTTTTGCTGTTTGAAAATCGGAACGAGCCCCCGCACCGTGAGAACAAACATCTCAGCCCTGAAGTCGGTCTTCATCCGCATACGTCACGTGATCAGGAAGCAGAACATCCATGTGTTAGGAGATCGTTTTGGGCCGTTCCTGTAAAAAAAAAGTGAGGCGCGAACCAGAAAAGCGTCTGCCGATCACCATTCAACAACAAATTATGAAAGAACGGATAACGCTGAAAACACGCAGATTCTTCCTGATGTAAGAGGTGAGTCCCCGCTTTGTTTTGGTTGTTTTGGCGTCGACATCAT